AACCAAAATACTCCGACCGGAAAGCAGCACAGGGTGTGAGGTTGAGCGTCACAGGCAGGACCCCGCCCCCACCGCCTCGTGAAGAGGGAAAAAAAAAAAACAACACGTAGGGGGTCCAAAATAGGGGTTTTCACAACTTTTCAGGGGGGGAGATACAAAAAAAAGAAACCCCCTAAAATATAAAAGAACGATTGTTTTTTCGGGTGGGGGTGCGGGGGGGGTGTGTGCAACAAAAAAAATCTTTGATTGATTGATTGATTGAGTGTGAGTAGGCTAGATCACCAAAATTGCATCATGGATCATCCATAGAAGTTGCGGTGCACTACCTAGTAGTGTGTGAGTGAAAAGCATGAGTGTGAGTAGGCTAGATCACCAAGATTGAACCAAAGATCATCCATAGAAGTAGAGGTGCACTACCTACTAGTGTGTGAGTGAAACGCATGAGTATGAGTAGGCTAGATCACCAAGATGGTATCAAAGATCATCCATGAAAGTTGCGGTGCACTACCTAGTAGTGTGTGAGTGAAAAGCATGAGTGTGAGTAGGCTAGATCACCAAGATTGAACCAAAGATCATCCATGTGCTCGTGTATGTTTGTGCGTGTGTGTGTGTGTGTGTGTGGGCGCGGGCATGTGTTTGTGTGTGTGCGTTGGTGTGTGTGTGTGTGGCGGGAGGAGGGTAGGGAGGACCTCCCCCACCAATCAATCAATCAATCAATCAATCAATCAATCAATCAATCAATCAATCAATCAATCAATTAATAACCAATCAATCAATCAATCAATCAATCAATCAATCAATCAATCAATCAATCAATCAATCAATCAATCAAAAACCAATCACCCACCGGTATTTATTTTTTTTCTATTTAAAAAAAAAAAAATTCCACACACCGAAAAGGACCCCCCCGAAAACTATTTTTTTCTTACTTTTTTTTTGTTCGAGGGTGTAGGGTCGGGGTTCTGGAACCCCAATCCGAAACCCCCACCCCCAACCCCCTCTCCCCTCGGCCGCTGGGGGGCGCGGCATTCCGCAGTCGCCGCGGTCATGACCGCGGGCCCGCGGCCTCGCCCGCAGGCCGCGGTCGTGCCGGCGGTGACCGCGGCCGCGGGGGATTCATAGGCTCTGATACCAACCTCACACCCCGTGCTGCGTATTGTACTCGTGCCACAGGGAAACCGGCGCACAGATCAGCGTCAAAATTGGATGTGGTTGAGAACTTTGGGCGGGGGATGGACCACCAGGACTAAACCAGGGGCCGTTCTCAGTCCCGAGGTTTCCCTCCACGAATCACTGACCGTCGGGGGCAGTCGCCAAAATTGATGGCCGGTCCTTGGGTGAGGGAAGGATTACCCCTCAAAATTACACAGAGGTGGGGGCACAGAAACGAAAAGAAAGAAAAATGAAAGTCAAAACTTGAGCGGGAGCAATAGAGGCTCTGGAACTGAAAGAAAGAAGGGCCTAATCTGGGCTATGTTCACATCGCCCCTTGGTGGGAGGGGCTGAGGTTAGGGGCCAAAGGTCGCCTTAGTTGCCTCAGCCGGATCGGTCGTCAGACCGGTCAGGGTCCTCATCGTTAGACAGGGGAGGAACTAGGGGTACCCAGGTCCGAAAGTTCGCGAAAAGTGCCCTTATATTACGGAGAGGTCCGGGAAGCGGACGGATCCTTCGTACCCCAACACCAGCGGCGCCATGAACACAAGTCTCCGCGCCTGCACCAGCAACAGTTAAACTGGGGCCACCATGTGGAGTGGGCCGCAGACCAAGGTAGCATGGTCAAGTCAGTATATGGCAAAATCAGCAAGGGGGAGGAAAACCGTTCAACCAGCACAAACCTCCCTCCCCCGATATGACAAGCCTTAGAGCCTTAGAAGCCTAGACGTGTTATATCGGTGAGTCCGTCAGACCGCAATAGTGCCCTTGGAAGTCCACATCGCAGTAACTTTCCTCTTCATATGCGATGGGGAATGGCGGAAGGCCGCTATGGCAGATCGACGTCAGGTCAGAGGATGGCAAGTTGCCTGAGCTAATACTCAACTGCACAAGTCTTGAGTCCGTACACCCGTCACGGAGGACACAACCCATCAATCTAAGACTCTGAGTCCAACACAATGTGTGCAGGGATCAGTAGGATGATTGGCACAAGTTGTTTCGCAAGTTCCCCTTCGTGCGTAAGTTACACATGCATTGAACTCGGATCGGGCGACGGGGGAGGAAAGGAAGGGTCGGGACATGTGATCACAACGCCATCCCAACCATAATGCAATGCAACTCAATCACGTCGCTCTTTTAGGAAGAGTGAAGAACGAAGCATCGCACAGACACCCACGACTTGAGACTGGACTGACTTGACACGAAGAGCAGTCAACTATACACTGACCAGAGCGAGTCCCACCATGCACACGTCTCAGAACAAACACAGTACTCTGTGTGCAATTGCACGGACTCGAAGCAGCGATGGAGAATATGGTGAGCCTTTCCAAATTACAAACAACCTGTGTTACTGATACATGGCCAACCTAGCCAAGAGTCGAACGTACGCCAACATCGCCTCATGGCCCTGCACCTGGGCATACCTCATTCCTTACCAGAGTCACCACTGCTCAATCTTCTCAACTCAACTCGGCGATACGACCACTAATCATACCCCACGCAGTCACTCCGGCTGAACCCTGGGCGTGTCGAGCCTGTTCGGCGCCACAACCTCCGTGCATAGCTTGCGCAGCATTATAGCTGAGAGCAAAAGAGAAAGAGAGGAAGGGACTGTGCTAATTTGTAGTGTGGAAGGCAGCAGGGCACCAGCGTGTGACATGGGCGGCGAGAGTGCCAAGAGGTAGTCGGTGAGGAGGAGAGAAGAACGAAGGATCTAAAAGGTTGGGAAGGGCGGGTAGATCGAAATTTCCGCACGATTGGAGGTGGCCGTTCAAGCCGTGTGCGTGCATTCGCTCTTACATCTTGATCTGACCAGGATAAGTCGGGGGTGAAAAGGAGGACGAAGAGGTGCATGCAAGGAGAGATCTGCAAGAAGAGAAGTTGGCACGTGCGTGTGAGGCTGGAAGCTAGCTTGCTTAGCTGACCAAGAGTCGCTGCGCGCATGCATGCGGACCAGAAAGATTCAAAACAGAAGAAATAAGGAAACCATCCTCAACCAAATTCCTAACCGTTCCTTGAGAATTTCCCACGCGGTCGCTTTGGGGCCGCGCGGATTAAAACGGACAAGGACAATTCCGAAAGACGCATGGAATGGAGAAGCACAAATTCTAGGACGGGCCCCCATCTGCCCAGGATAGTCAAGATGTGTACTTCGGGATTACTTCGGGGATTACTTCGGGGTTTATTCGGAAGGGTATGTGAAGCCGCCTGGTAAAATGCATCAAACCAAACCAGATGACAATTCGGAAGGAATAAATAGAGAGAGGAAAAGAGAAACGAGGAGATCAGAGGAAGCGAGAGGGAGACGATGGACAATGAATCCCTGACCACAAGTTGGCTCGTCGATATTCAAGAAAAGAACAGCCAAGTCATAACTCTGCATAGAAAACAGGCACAGAGTGCCATAAACGTGAAGATCCAACGCTGGCAAAACCTAACACATGTTCTGGCCGGCTAGCCAGCTTCATACCGGCATCATCAGGAGCTGTGTGCAACATAGAGGGAAAGAGACTACAGAGCTCAGCAGTTATATACTCAAAACTTGTCTAAAGCTGGAGCACTATGGAAAGAACTAGGGAACAAAAAAACAGAGCAATACAGCACCTTGGAATTTCCAAGAAAGGTACTGCACGGGAGCCCTACCGGGCTGCCTGGAACCAGACACGAAAATCGGAAACTGGAACCCTGGTCGGGAAGAAAACCAGAATCTTATATCCTTCACCACGCAAAGCATTTGGCCGAACGTCCCCAGTTATCCCCCGACCAGATATTGAAATTAGTCAGAGCCTTATTGAAAGATCTGCCGGGAACGCGATTCGTCTTGGCTCAAATTTGAGAGCCAGAAGAATGGGCAGTTAAACCACCAGGGCCTTCATGTTTTTAGGCCGTTAACGCAGTGGCTGAATCGGTGCGCCGCGCGGGTCCATGTGCATTTGCATCAGAGCCTCCCCAGAGGGGGCCTAAGCAGTTTGTCTGCAGGAATTAGTCACATAGCCTTTTGCGCCATGAAATGAGAATTGAACCCATCACAATTGCACCAAGCTAGCCATTGTCTCCCAAAGATAAACTGGCAGAACTGCCTCTCTCTCTCTCTCTCTCTCTCTCTCTCTCTCTCTCTCTCTCTCTCTCTCTCTCTCTCTCTCTCTCTCTCTCTCTCTCTCGGTTCCTCCGTCCCCCCTATGCCCGCCTGCATGCACGCGGGGTCAACATCATCAGTAAACTACCATTAAGAAATGGTTAAGCAACTTTAGCTCAGTGAGGATAGGAACTTGGAACTTTGGAAGTAAAGAGAAATAAACTCCTCATCTTGCACCCTGGAGTTCTATTGTGAATGTCAAAACTATTGTACCATGCGATTTACACAAGTTCATATTTAATAGAATAAAGAAAAAACGACGGCGCAGTCAGGGTGTGAGTTTGAAAATGCACTTGAGGGCCTTTTGAGGCAAAAGGGCTGGTAATGTTGAATGTATAGAACCTAGGTTTGGGGTCCGGTAGGGTACCGTGGGGGTGTGTTGTGTTCGCGGGATTGCCTGAAGTGCATTTTCAAAACTGTTTTCGTGACTGCGCCAAAGTTACCCCTACAATAGAGTTTATATTGGTGTAAGATAAACAAGAACATCAGATCAGGAGACATGAAGAAAAAACAATCCCTGAGTGTGAATTGCTCGTTATAAAATTTCATGTGCACTATGCCAGTAGCCACTAAAGCAGACAGTATTACAGGGAAATTGATGAGCAGATATTTCTGCGCCCCCTCTGGTATAGAATTGCATTCCTTGATCCACCTGATTCGCGTCACCGCGTGTACTGGTAGACAGTGGTAGTTGAAGGGCTCGTTCGTATCGCATTTACATAGGTCTCGGCGTCTCTCTCTTACTGTGTCTAGCTTTCGATTGCTGTCTGTCCCTCCACCATGCTCTGCCCTCTCTGGCTATCGTTGTTGGTGCCACGTTCAGGACCAGGAAAGTGCCTGATGGTAAAGGAACCGCTTTCTAGTCGACGTAGTCGTAACTCATCACGATACTCATCCAGCACTCGTCCATGGCTGACCACGTCAAGTCCTGCAGCCTCCTCCTCCTCACTGATCCGCAGTAGCACCACGTTGTTTAGTGCATAGAACAATGTGCCCATCGTCACGGAAGTCCAAGCTGTGATACAGATCGCACCGGTCACCTGTGCCGCCAGCAGTCGTCCACCACCTCCGTACAAGAGCCCGTAAGGACTGTTGTCAGACGTTCGTAGAGTCTGGAGTAAATACTCTTTCTTGGCAAGCAGTCCAACGAAAATGATTCCGAGCAAGCCACATCCACCATGTCGCTGGAATGCATTCAGCGGGTCATCATAACGGATCTTTAGTGCCAACCTATTCATGCCAATCAGCACCCATGCTGCAAGGAAGCCCAGAACGACGGCAGCCCAAGGCTCGATTACAGAGCACCCTGCCGTTACGGCCGTGAATCCGGCAATAAGACCACTGCAGGCGTCCTCTACCATCCAATGACCTGTCATTGACTTCCTTGCAAGGAGGACCGTTACTGAAGCCGCCCCACCAGCTAGGGTAGTTGTAATGACGGTTCTCGCAACAAGAACATTATTAGCAATTCCGGAAGGCGAAATGGTGGCAAGCACCGAGCCTGTGGTGAGTCCGTACCATCCAAACCACAGCAGCAAAGTCCCCAAGACCTCTAGAATGGGGCTATGACCCCTCATCTCCTTTGGATTGCCCCGCATATCAAATCGCCCAATGCGAGGGCCTTCGATCCACGAACCCCAAAACCCAGCGATGGCGCCCGTCATGTGTACCACGCCGCTCCCTGCGAAGTCAACCATGCCAACACCCAGGAATTTATTGCGCACGTTGGCCGCACTGAGCCACCCGCTTGGTGCCCATACCCAATGTGAAACCACTGGGTAAACGAACGCCGTCAGGAATGTGGAGCACAATATATATGTGGTAAACTGTGTTCTCTCTGTAATGGACCCGGTTGTGATGCTGGCTGCCGCAACCGCAAATGTCCACTGGAACAACCACGCACCGGGCTGGGCATTGGGGTTGATGGCCTTGTCATCTGGCTTTGCAAAGCTATGTGCGCCAATAAAGCCATTTGAAGATCGCCCGAATGCAAATGTGAAACCGACAAGATAGTACGACATAGCACCAACAGCAGCATTCATTATGTGAGTAAGCACAATGTCCACTGTGTTCTTTCTTCTCACGGAACCTGCACAGAGCATACCAAATCCTGCCTGCATAGCAAACACCAAGTATGCCGAGAACAGCAAGAACATCCCGTCTGCGCCAATAGAGACGTTGTTGACATGGTGGTCCAACCCACAGAAATAAGAGCTGACCTTGGCCATCTCAGTCGAACTCAAGTTTGACGAGCGGGAGAGTAATCCCAGTGATTCCATCAGGTCCCTGTTGCACACAGAGGATGCCATTGTGGCAGATTGAGTGGCACCGCGCTTCCTTCTCTGTCTCTCTCTCCCGCTCTCTCTCAAGCTTCACTGTGCAGTGTGTCGTCTCCTCCCTGATTCCCCAGTATGTGCACGTACTGTGTCACGCACGCACACACACACACACACACACACACACACACACACACACACACACACACACACACACACACACACACACACACACACGCACATACAGGTCAGAGAAGCCTGCCTACATTCGGAGAGCTGGATCTAGAGGAGGTTTCCAGGCCGGGCTACTGAGACGAGAGAGGAGAAGGTGATGTCGCTGCTCGGATTCTTATGAAAAAAAGAGGGGGTTGATAAGAAGGATGGCAGCTTCCGGCTGCTACCCCATGATAACGCCGACCACCCCAACCTGCATCCATCCCTACCCCGGGTACCCCCCCCCCCCCCCCCCCCCCCCCCCACACACACAGTTGGAGTGACTAAAGTCAACCACTTTTCTCAGGGGTATTGCTAACTCTAGGCAATTGGTGGGTCCTTAAACATCAGTCAACTTCATCCCGGGTAGACTGTCGGGGTTCAACCTTTTTTTACTTTTTTAAACACGCCCACCAGTGTTAGTGGTGCTGATAAGAGCATACACCACTAGCACCCGGGGAGAGGCTCCATCTATTGGTGGGGAGCATCACCTGCTGGAAAGTGGGTCCAGCGTCCCTTATACAAACTGATTTGGGATACATCAGAAAAGATTGTAGAATGTTCCTGCCAGCATTGACTACCCTGGGATCCAGGGGATTGACTGAGCAGGTTATTACTGATGTGTGTCGGAGAAAGTCGGGTGAAACAGTCTGGCACTGGCACCCTTTTTTTCCGAAGTTGTGTATAGTGAACATGACATCACACACACACAGTGCGACACATACACCTTCTTAAGTCAAGCACGTTTCTCACTCTTTCTTCCACCCAAGGTTTCTCGATACCCCAGAACGTTTTGGCCTTTTCCACACTTCCGCGTCCCGACCCCTGGCCTCCCTCACAGCTTGAAAATTTTCGGGTTCACCCAAAGAAGTTGCTTCCGTTGGGACCGGTAAAGAAGGTAACTACCGGGATCTGTGCAGGATCGTCTCAGAAGAATAACGGGGCTAGAAAAGAAGTACCCCGATAAATGATCTTGTCCAGCAAATTTTGTACGAAGTTGGTCAACCGACTCAACCCCAAAAGAAATGGGGTCACCAGTTACTCTACCGCCTGAAGGGCGTTACTTGATTGTGTAATGATCCTGGCCAGTGGCCAATTTCGAAGTACACATTCATGAGAAAGCACAATGCCATCCAATTGCAAAAAGAAATGAATGAACTTGAGAGGAGAGAGAAGCAAAGAAGAGGAAGAAGAAGAAAGAAAGAAGAAGAAGAAGATGTACACCAGCAAAGACCAATGATAATTTCCTTCTTCTCGCCAACCACTCTCCACCTCCTTTTCTCCTGCCCTCTTATTCAAACAATAAATAATAATAAATTAATAATCATATTGAATGGCTGAACCAGAATCAATGTCTGAATCCCTCTTCTACTGCAGGTAGAACATGTCCGCCATAGCCATGCCCACTCTTCTCCTTCCGCTTCCTGAAGGCCGAGGCTATGGTGCACTGCTAGGGCCTTGCCCTGATGTGCAGAAGACAACTAAGAGCAGCTATGGCTGCTCTAGCTCAGGCCGCCATGCCTGACTCTGCCTCGAAGCTTCTTGGTGTAGCTCTACCCCAACTGGGCCCTTCCAGATGCAGCGCCCACTGAGGTCATGACGATGGCGTCCACCATAGCCAGGTAAGTACATCTGGGCGCTCCCCCTTCCTAGTCCTCGTCTTCCTCCTCCTCCAGCCCGTTCTTCTCCACCATAGCCGCATAACCGGGGTGGAGAGCTGGGAGCTCCTTCCTTCCCGGCAGCGCTGCTCCAGCCACCGCTCCAAGCAGTGTGTCGCCAAACTTGCACACCATAGAACGAGGAGGAGCCCCTTTCTCCTCCTGGAGATATAGCGGGCTGCTTGGCAATTGGGCGGTGACACCCAGGCCGCGCGGCCTCCAAGCATCCGGTACTTCCTCCCGTTCGGAGGGAAACATCATTGCAGACTCGGATATTGCCCGTCTCCTATGTTGCACGCCCACGGCCGGGGCCGCGGCCGTCAGCCAAATTGGCCGGGTTCGGCCACGGCCAACCAGCCAAGTTTGGTGCAGCAATTTTTTTCGCATATTTTAGCGGAAAAAAAAAAAGAAAAAAAAAAAGGGTGTGTAGGGTTCAAAACCCCTACACGCTCATATTTGTTTTTGGGGCATTGTTGTTTTCTATTGCGTAAAAAAAAGAAAAACAAAAAAAGAAAATGAAAAAAAAAAAAATGCTTTGAAACCCCG